CATTCCAGTGTTAATACTAAATTGTAATTATTTTGCACTATAGCCTATTTTATTGCCTTACCTCCATAACTTGCTAAATTTGCACACTGTATATTAATTGTATTTCTGTTGTATATTTTTTTTTTGATTTTTGTTTTGTTTTACCCCATATGTAACTCTGTGTTGTTGTTTTTATCGCACTGCTTTGCTTTATCTTGGCCAGGTCGCAGTTGTAAATGAGAACTTGTTCTCAACTGGTTTACCTGGTTAAATAAAGGTGAAATAAAAAAAAATAAAAAAAATAAAAAAAAAATAGACCGGAAGTAGAGGCCTGGGCATTGTTGTTCACTAATTTACTCCAAGTAGGGAAAGGATGGTGGGGTTGAAAAGTAATAAAGGGGAATATATATATATAAAACATGGGGGATTGGAAGTGATGCAGACAATTACATTGATAGAAGATACAATATATCTGCAATATTAAGCTGATCCATTCCCCCCAAGAAAAAAATAAAGAAAAATAAATAAAAAAATAAAATAAAAAAAAAATAAAAAATAGAAAATAATTTTTAAAAAATCCTGCAGCATTATTAAAGATGTGATCAATACATGGACTTTCAACTCCCTCCAAAGATTTTCTATGGGGTTGAGATCTGGAGACTGGCTAGGCCACTCCAGGACCTTGAAATGCTTCTTACGAAGCCACTCCTTCGTTTCCCGGTCGGTGTGTTTGGGATCATTGTCATGCTGAAAGACCCAGCCACGTTTCATCTTCAATGCCCTTGCTGATGGAAGGAGGTACATGGCCCCATTCATTCTTTCCTTTACACAGATCAGTCGTCCTGGTCCCTTTGCAGAAAAACAGCCCCAAAGCATGATGTTTCCACCCCCATGCTTCACAGTAGGTATGGTGTTCTTTGGATGCAACTCAGCATTCTTTGTCCTCCAAACACGACGAGTTGAGTTTTTACCAAAAAGTTCTATTTTGGTTTCATCTGACCATGTGACATTCTCCCAATCCTCTTCTGGATCATCCAAATGCACTCTAGCAAACTTCAGACGGGCCTGGACATGTACTGGCTTAAGCAGGGGGACACGTCTGGCACTGCAGGATTTGAGTCCCTGGCGGCGTAGTGTGTTACTGATGGTAGGCTTTCTTACTTTGGTCCCAGCTCTCTGCAGGTCATTCACTAGGTCCCCCTGTGTGGTTCTGGGATTTTTGCTCACCGTTCTTGTGATCATTTTGACCCCACGGGGTGAGATCTTGCGTGGAGCCCCAGATCGAGGGAGATTATCAGTGGTCTTGTATGTCTTCCATTTCCTAATAATTGCTCCCCACAGTTGATTTTTTCAAACCAAGCTGCTTACCTATTGCAGATTCAGTCTTCCCAGCCTGGTGCAGGTCTACAATTTTGTTTCTGGTGTCCTTTGACAGCTCTTTGGTCTTGGCCATAGTGGAGTTTGGAGTGTGACTGTTTGAGGTTGTGGACAGGTGTCTTTTATACTGATAACAAGTTCAAACAGGTGCCATTAATACAGGTAACGAGTGGAGGACAGAGGAGCCTCTTAAAGAATAAGTTACAGGTCTGTGAGAGCCAGAAATATTGCTTGTTTGTAGGTGACCAAATACTTATTTTCCACCATTATTTGTAAATAAATTCATAAAAAATCCTACAATGTGATTTTCTGGATATTTTTTTCTCAATTTGTCTGTCATAGTTGACGTGTACCTATGATGAAAATTACAGGCCTCTCTCATCTTTTAAGTGGGAGAACTTGCACAATTGGTGGCTGACTAAATACTTTTTTCCCCCACTGTATGCCTCTCTGTTGATATCACATACATTATCAAGCATTTCACACATGTTATCCAGATACTGACTGTTAGCGCAAGAATGGGCTTCAGGTGAGGTAGATGAACCTGTAGCCATATTACTTCAACAATATTTAACATGAGCTTTACAGGAATGTGGTTCTGAATATAAACAGCAACACCTCCACCATTGGTATTTCTGTATTTACTGTAAATGTTATAACCTTGTATTGGTACGACTGTATCATCAAAGGTATTTTCTAAGTGAATTTCAGAGATAGGCAAAATTTGAATATAATCTGTTACTAGCAAATTATTGATTTCATGAACCTTCTTTCTGAAGCTACAGTTGAAGTCGGAAGTTACATACACTGGTTGGAGTCATTAAAACTCGTTTTTCAACCACTCCACAAATTTCTTGTAAACAAATTATAGTTTTGGCAAGTCGGTTAGGACATCTAGTTAGGATCGCCACTTTATTTTAAGAATGTGAAATGTCAGAATAATAGTAGAGAGAATGATTTCTTTCAGCTTTTATTTTTTCATCACATTCCCAGTGGGTCAAAAGTGTACATACACTCAATTAGTATTTGGTAGCATTGCCTTTAAATTGTTTAACTTGGGTCAAACGTTTCGGGTAGCCTTCCACAAGCTTCCTACAATGATTTTGGCCCATTCCTCCTGACAGAGCTGGTGTAACTGAGTCAGGTTTGTAGGCCTCCTTGCTCCCACACGCTTTTTCAGTTCTGCCCAGAAATGTTCTATAGGATTGAGGTCAGGGCTTTGTGATGACCACTCCAATACCTTGACTTTGTTGTCCTTAAACCATTTTGCCACAACTTTGGAAGTATGTCCGCCTGGCCTTGCTGCTATTCCAGTTTCAACTGTTCGGCCTGCGGCTACGAAACCCCTACCTGTCCCAGACCTGCTGTTTTCAACTCTTAATGATCGGCTATGAAAAGCCAACTGAGAGACCTGAGCCCTAGGACCATACGTCGGGACTACCGGCCGTGGTGACTCCTTGCTGTCCCCAGTCCGCCTGGCCTTGCTGCTATTCCAGTTTAAACTGTTCTGCCTGCGGTTATGGAACCCCTACCTGTCCCAGACCTGCTGTTTTCAAACTCTTAATGATCGGCTATGAAAAGCCAACTGAGATTTATTCCTGATTATTATTTGACCATGCTTGTCACTTATGAACATTTTTGAACATCTTGGCATGGTTCTGTTATAATCTCCACCCGGCACAGCCAGAAGAGGACTGGCCACCCCTCATAGCCTGGTTCCTCTCTAGGTTTCTTCCTAGGTTTTCGCCTTTCTAGGGAGTTTTTCCTAGCCACCGTGCTTCTACACCTGCATTACTAGCTGTTTGGGGTTTTAGGCTGGGTTTCTGTACAGCACTTCGAGATATTAGCTGATGTAAGAAGGGCTATATAAAATAAAATTGATTGAAATTGATTGATGCTTGGGGTCATTGTCCATTTGGAAGACCCATTTGCGACCAAGCTTTAACTTCCTGACTGATGCCTTGAGATGTTGCTTCAATATATCCACATAATTTTCCTTCCTCATGATGCCATCTATTTTGTGAAATGCACCAGTCCCTCCTGCAGCAAAGCACCCCCACAGCATGATGCTGCCACTCCCGTGCTTCACGGTTGGAATGGTGTTCTTCGGCTTGCAAGCCAACCCCTTTTTCCTCCAAACATAACGATGGGCTTTATGGCCAAACAATTCTATTTTTGTTTCATCAGACCAGAGGACATTTCTCCAAAAAGTACGATCTTTGTCCCCATGTGCAGTTTCAAACCGTAGTCTGGCTTTTTTATGCCGTTTTTTTTAGCAGTGGCTTCTTCCTTGCTGAGCGGCCATTCAGGTTATGTCGCTATAGGACTCGTTTTACTGTGGATATAGATACTTTTGTACCTGTTTCCTCCAGCATCTTCACAAGGTCCTTTGCTGTTGTTCTGGGATTGATTTGCACTTTTTGCACCAAAGTACGTTAATCTCTAGGAGACAGAACGCGTCTCCTTCCTGAGCGTGGTCCCATGGTGTTTATACTTGCATATTATTGTTTGTACTGATGAACGTGCTACCTTCAGGTGTTTGGAAATTGCTCACAAGGATGAACCAGACTTCTGGAGGTCTACACATTTGTTTCTGAGGTGTTGGCTGATTTCTTTTAATTTTCCCATATGTCAAGCAAAGAGGCACTGAGTTTGAAGGTAGGCTTTGAAATACATCCACAGGTACACTCAAATGATGTTAATTAGCCTATCAGAAGCTTCTAAAGCCATGACATCATTTTCTGGAATTTTCCAAACTGTTTAAAGGCACAGTCAACTTAGTGTATGTAAACTTCTGACCCACTGGAATTGTGATACAGTGAATTATAAGTGAAATAATCTGTCTGTAAACAATTGTTGGAAAAATTACTTGTGTCATGCACAAAATAGATGTCCTAACCGACTTGCCAAAACTATAGTTTGTTAACAAGAAATTTGTGGAGTGGTTGAAAAACTAGTTTTAATGACTCCTACCTAAGTGTATGTAAACTTCCGACTTCAACTGTATGTTAACGTGGGCTATCTTGAGCACTTATCTTCAGCAATGCTTACTTGTTTTCATTGCTTTACTAGGAAGCTTAGCAGAAGTAGATATTTTCATGTTATTTATGTTAGTGCAGGGTGAGCTGCACACATTGGATTTCCTACTAGAGCGCACCGCCTCAGTGCTAACATTATAACATAAACTTCCCATGCAGAAAAGTTAGCTAGCTTGCATGCTAACGTTAGCTAGGTTTAATTTACATGTTAGGCCTATTTAACAAACGTGTTATTTTATGACAATAGTCATCTAACAAATCATGAACACTAAAACATCAATATCAAGCTAGTGAGGTTAGTTAAGTTGCTAGCTAAGTGGCTATCACACACTGGTAGGTAACGGGTGTTACTGTAATAGCAGTGGATGAGCTAAGCAGATTATAGCATTTTCACATGTATGGAATAATTGTAATATATTAGCACAATGAGGCAGGGATACGGGTAAAATAACAAAGTTTATCAGATGTCATGGGTCAAGTGCAAGTACAGATGATCACATGTACTAATTAGTAACAGCGTCACCCTCAGGCACTCCAGGTAAGTATATGTACATACATGATGTTTTCTGAACGTTTTCATGAATGTTTTCTTCCCTATGTTTGTAGGATGACAACCATGATGATGACGTCCCCCTGTTTGATGCAGAGCAGGATAGTCAAAGAAGACTCAAATCAAGTAATTTGGTTCAGCATTGTACTCAGTGGCTCAGCCAGAAAATTGTACAATGCAATGGCTCTCAACCCTTAATACAAGCCACAGACCCATTCAACTTAACTGTATTTGCTGAGAAAAACGTGAAATGTTTATGTTCATACCATGTTTTCCAGGCATCCAGTGGCCTTCTTCCACCTGTTCCTCAGAGTGAGTGCTATCTTGGTGTACCTGCTCTGTGAGCTCCTCAGCAGTAGCTTCATTGCCTGTATGGTCACCATCATCATCTTCCTGTCAGCTGACTTCTGGACCGTTAAGGTAAGCCCTAAAGAGTAATAGAACAAAACACCAATAGAATAGTAATAGAAAAGAATAGTAATATAACAGCAATAGAACCGCAATAGAAGACCAATAGAATATCAGTATAACAAGTGTAAATATTGTCAACCCTCTGTCTCTTTGGTTTTAAGTAAGTGACCTAATGATGTATTGACTCCTCTACCATATTTCAGAACATCACTGGGCGGTTGATGGTGGGCCTGAGGTGGTGGAACCAGGTGGATAACAATGGAAAAAGCCACTGGGTGTGTTTGAGTCCAGAAAGGTAGATCACACACATCCCAGTCCTTCTGGTAACTAAATGCAGTAACTAAATGCCCTCCACTGAACTACCTTCTTCTGTAGGGGTAAAACCTAGTTCCATAGGCTGTATCAACTTTGGATTTTGGTGTCATTACAAAGCCTATTAGTTAGTAATATCTGACTCCATCTATTGTATATACATGTGGTCTCTCCCAATCTTGAGGTGTACTTTCTTTTGGATACACTCAAAGCATTATAACCCTCAATCCTAGAATTTACCCAATACTTACTTGGTCAACAAGCAAGTTGGCATCCACAGATGTGAGAATAACCTCTCTTTCCCATCAGCCTCGGGGGAATTCGAAGCAGCTGGTGTCAGAGGATCTTCTGGTTGGGCCTGGTCATGTGTCCAGTCATCTGGGTCTTCTGGTTGGGCCTGGTCATGTGTCCAGTCATCTGGGTCTTCTTTGTCTTCAGCACACTCTTCTCCTTCAAGGTCAAATGGCTGGTTAGTCAAATCCAGTCCATTTTATTTTAAAGTGAATTTCAATTGGGTGTCAACACACAGCTTGACTTAATTGTTAGTTCTTAGCTTTGCCAGTTTTCTCTCAATTTGTGGAGATTGCTTCATTGTCAAACTGTGTAAGGCATCCCTGCTCACATTCCTCATCAACACCCTCTTCTTTCAAGATGAAGTGGGCTGGTTCATTTTTAGCTTTGCCAGTGCTCTCTCACTATGATGGTGTTGCACCGATGTCAGCCATAAAGGCCCTGTTCTTATAATCTCATACCTCTCTCCTCCACCCAGGCCGTGGTCATCATGGGCGTTGTGCTACAGGGGGCTAACCTGTATGGATGTGTTCGCTGTAAAGTGGGCGGTTTGAAGAACATGGCTACTAACTATTTTGGACGGCAGTTTCTTAAACTGGTAACTTTTCGAATGCATAGTCTGCGTCCCGATTCTCCATCCATTTCCAGAAGTGTTCACTTGAAATCTCCCTGACACACTTCGGAAGAAGGATGGACAATTGAGATGCAAATGTCCTGAAATGGACAAGAATTGTCTGTATTTATTTAAATCAGGATTTTGTGTGCATATCTAATGTTGTGTTTTTGTTTTGTGTGTTTTCTCTCTGACAGGCAATGACTAAACAAGAAGAGTCATAGAGAAGGCCGACTGATCTAAGATTTTAACTTATGTTTGCATTATTCTGAATGCTACAGTTTACCTGGAGTTTTACTAGAAACTAATGCATAATAGAAACCTTTTGTGACATTGCTTACCTTTGAAGAGTTTTCAAATTTGGATACCATTTCAAGTCAGTTAAAGGATCATTTCTAGATAGGTCTGTGCGTTTCCACTGTAGCTATACTGACTCAAAGCAATCCTTTATCTGTTTTATTTGTTGTTTTGCATATTATTCCTAGAATTTATACAATACAGTGAAATGTTGTTTCTGACTTGTATTATACAAACATGTTGCCTGTATAAAACTGATGGTTGTAAAGCAATATATAATATCAAGTTCACGTGTAAATAGTTATTTATGTCAAACAAAAAAATATGTGAGGCATCTTTTTGTGCAAATACATTTATAACATTTCCTAAATGAGCTGTGTGTTTTTCAATTATTCTGGATTTACTTCATGAAGTGCGTTCTACACAACTAAACTTTCTGGAATCTGAAATCTTTCATTTTAATTTGATGTGTGGGGTCAAATAGTACACACAGGAACATTACACCCCTTCTGTTGTATAGTTTTACTCATGGGAACTTAATGGGAAGGTATTTTTATTAAATTAAATGATGTGTCATATTTGAATCAGTAAAGTAACTCATAAGCCTACTTTCATCAGTCGTGCATGTTGGTCATAAATTAGGTCCAGTGCGCCACAAATGTTAGGATCGACAGCGACACCTTGTGGTACATTATTGCGAAGTTTTCTGCCACAACAACGATGGCCGCTGTTCATGACTGATGTGAAGAAGACGGATACGGAAGCGATCTCGTGTTGATTGCCCCGCCCCAGCCGATGAGAATCTGGGGGTCATTGTTATTATTTTGTTGAATAGCTTTTGCTATTATATTTTCGATATTGGTGGCCTTTCTTCTGTATCCACTTTTGCCACAAACACGCAGGATGATTCCGACCGAGGATGCGTCCGCGAGGAAGAGGGAGATAGAGGAGAAACTAAAGCAGGTCGGTTTCAGGAAATGGGAAGGGAAGGAAATGGGAGAAATCTCTAGCCAGTTAGCTAGCGTTATTTACTAGCTAATCTTTACAACATTTGACTCTAGCTATTACATGTCGTCCTCTCTATGCATGTTATAAGTGTAATTTGTCCAAATGAGTTTACAAGTATACACTGCACAGTAATACCAGACTTGACCTGTCGTAACACAGCCACTCAGAGGCGTTTTTCTTTGATCAGCGTTCTCAGACCTGTAACGTTACACTAGGAATGGTTGATAAGCAGATGTTCCAACATAGCCAAGCTAGGCTTTATTGTACACATCCCTGTCCCTATCCTGCCTCTCGGCTGCTGTTGTCATAATTCGTTCATTCCCTCTATGAATAACAGGAACAGGAAACCCTGTCCTTCATCCGAGAGAATATGGAGAAGAGTGATCAGCTGACTAAAGGAATGGTATGTGGCAGGTTGGCACTCGTTTCCCACCCAATACTCTTAGAAATATCATTTCATATAGTTGGTGAATACAAAAGTCAACGGTTCCTTTCCAGCCAACTATTTCCTGACATTGTCATATGTACTGTACTCTTGAAATGTAGGCCTAGTTGTTCCACATAAACGGTTCGTTTACTGCTGACTCTTTCTGCGACCCACTCCTGCTCCCATGTAGGTGTCCATCTTGTCATCGTTTGAGAGTCGTCTGATGCAGCTGGAGAACTCCATCATCCCAGTACACAAGCAGACAGAGAACCTACAGAGGCTTCAGGAGAACGTGGATAAGACCCTGTCCTGCATGGACCATGTCATCAGTTATTACCATGTAGCCAAGGACACTGACAAGATCATCAGAGAGGGGTGAGAGTCAGACTGGGCTCCAGGGACAGAGAGAGAGACTGGCATCTATTTACATTTGTAAAGAAATAAAGATAGACAGCTGCACGCTGTTGAATGCTCACACAGTTTTATTGAGTGTAACGTTTTGACCCAAAAGTCTCCGTAAGGCTCTATTTATATTATCGCTCTCTACTTAACTATTATTCTATTATTCTTGGATTTAGTCTTCCATGATATGACAGTCAACATATTTTATTCAGCATTGTCCTATTGCTGTCCTATTGCTACCTGTGTTGGAGTAGAGAGTACTATAAGTGGTGCTGTTAACTACTAGCTAACAGACCAAAGCTAATACCTGGTGCTATGTTTCTATGTTCCAGGCCAACAGGCAGACTAGATGAGTACCTGGCCTGCATCGCCAAGATCCAGAAAGCTGTTGAGTACTTTCAGGACAACAACCCAGATAGCCCTGAGCTCAACACAGTGGTACAGTACTCAAATATCTCTCTCACTCGCTCTTGTTTTTCTTTCTCTCTCTTCTTTCTCTCTTCTTTCTCTCTTTCATCCCCCCTCTCTCTCTCTCTCTCTCTCTCTCTCTCTCTTCTCTCTTTCTCTCTCTCTCTCATCCTGTCTGTCTTTCTCTGTCACTCCCTCTAATCTCATTCCTCCTGTTATCAATAACAATACATTCTCAACATTAACTACTTGTTTCACTGTACTTTTTGCTACAGAAAGCACGGTTTGAGAAGGGTAAGGAGCTGCTGGAGGCTGAGTTCCGTGGTCTGCTGACCCGCTACAGTAAGCCTGTTCCTCCCATCTTGATCCTGGATGCCATCACTGTAGATGAGGAGCTGGAGGTTCAGGAGGAGGTGACTCTAGAACACCTCCCTGAGGCCGTACTACAGGATATCATCTGTATCTCTGGCTGGCTGGTGGAGTATGGACGCAACCAGGGTAGATCACCCACTCTTTACACAGTATCACTGATATCTGTCCCCAGTCATTTCTCCTTTTGTGTAGTCCCTTGGAGTACGGACACAACCAGGATACTTGTGCTGTACATGAAATGCACTCACTCTTCCATTGATGTCCGCTTCATGTTTGAAGGTGTCATCGGTTACTTTTCAAAGGATGCTGATTCTATTTTACAGTACATAAGTGTAGAGCTAATGCTATTATGTAGATGTTATGTGGATGACATGTTGAGGAGAGATAACAGGGCAATAGGAGATTGCAGTACAGGTCACTCAGATGAAGCCAGTGTCAGTGAGGAGGATGATGATTCTGAGGAAGATGATTCAGTCAGCCAACAGGAAGAGCAGTAGCAGGATGGTGGATAGGGTCAGATGAGATCCCTAACAGCATCACTCCACCTCGCCCTCTGGTACTGTAAGTTGTAGAAACAGACTAGCTCAGACTAGATGCCCCTTCTCTCAGGGTTAGTGCTAGCTGGGATCCTTGGGACACCCCTACCCTAAACCCTAACCTTAACCCCTACCATAAACCTAACCATACCCCTTACTTAACCCTAACAGTTTTCAATTTCAACTTCAGTGGGGTGACATCAGAGTTGGGACGTCCCAAGGATCCCGTTTAGACTTTTCCCTTCTCACAGTCAGCACACAACATAATTATGCTCAAAAGTGGTATAGCTCATCAGTTGAAAACATTTTCCTTGTATTGATGTACTCAAAACCTACCACACCCTTGTCAATTTCATAATTATGGGTTTTATGGTGGTTGTCGTCCAGTTTTGACCACCTCTTCTCTACCTCTGCATACTGATGATTATGCTCAACAGTTGTACTCAAAACCTGCTCCTAACATAGATGTAGATTTCATAACCATATTTCTGTATGATAGTTGTCCTCTCCTCTTGACCACATCTCCTCTCTGCCCTGCAGACTTTATGAACGTGTACTTCCAGATCCGCTCCAATCAGCTGGACCGTTCCATCAAGGGTCTGAAAGACCACTTCCGGAAGAGTTCTGCCTCTTCTGGCATTCTCTACTCGCCCGCCGTGCAGACCAAACGCAAGGACACGCCCACTAAGAAGGCCCCCAAGAGACCAGGTCAGTGCCCTGCTGCGGCCCGGTACACTCTGCTGTGCCTCCATGACGGTTCAACTACAGCCATAGCTACAGTGTCACTATCACTCTCATTCATATACTAAAATCATACCCACCACAAACAGGTTAAAATCTACCACAAATTCACAGAATGCATTACTTCATCACAGTCACCACAGACAGGAATATACACTGAGTGTACAAAACATTATGCTCTTTACATGACAGTCTGACCAGGTGAATCCAGGTGAAATCTATGATCCTTTATTGATGTGGCTTGTTAAATCCATTTCAATCAATGTAGATGAAGGGGAGGAGACAGGTTAAAGAAGGATCTTTAAGCCTTGAGACAATTGAGACATGGATTGTGTATGTGTGCCATTCAGAGGGTGAATGGGCAAGACAAAAGATTGAAGTGCCTTTGAACGGGGTATGGTAGTAGGTGCCAGGCGCACTGGTTTGAGTGTGTCATGAACAGCAACGCTGCTGGGTTTTTCTCCCCTTCAACAGTTTCCCGTGTGTATAAAGAATGGTCCACCACCCAAAGGACATCCAGCCAACTTTACACAACTGTGGGAAGCATTGGAGTCAACATGGGCCAGCATCCCTGTAGAACGCTTTTGACACCTTGTAGAGTCCATGCCACGACGCATTAAGGCTGTTCTAAGGGCAAAAGGGGGTGCAACTCAATATTAGGAAGGTGTTCCTAATATTTTGTACACTCAGTGTAGATATCAACATGATCAAGATAATCTATTATCATACACTGTAATACAATTTCAGACAGCTCACACACTTAAGAATGTCCTTCTGGTCTGAACATTCTGAATCAGGTGGTTGGTTATAGTTCCCCCTTTCTTGCGTAATTCTATTCTGTTTCAAGTGTCTTCCACAATCACTGAGAGCATGATTCATCATTCTCATTACGACTACCGAACTTCTCTATTATCATCAGCCTCTTTAATGGATGACAGTGTCCCTCACCACCCCAAATGGTACCCTATTCCCTATATAGTACACTGCTTTTGACCAGGGTCCATAGGGCTCTGGTCAAAAGTAGTGCACTATGTAAGGAATAGGGTGCCATTTGGGACATAGACTATGTTCCTGTGATTTTGCCTTCTCTCTCGTTGTCATGACACCGACTAACCCCTCTTCCTTTCCTCTTGTTTTATAATCCTCATGTGTATTGTGATGATGATGATGCTGACAGTCTACATCCCAGGTAAAGACAAAAGCTTTAGTGTAGTCTCTCGCTATCGTCTTGTTACCATCACTTGCTTCTGTTAACTGGACGCCACATTTCACCACAAACGAGTGTGCCGTAGTCGGTGACCAGAACACCGTGAACTAGAATCATGCCATCTGATGTGGAAACAGTTATGCTACCACTCGCCTATTCAGAGTGATTGATAGTGTTTGTTGTTTTCGTCACTTAGGTTAGTTGGTCACCTCCAATGAGGTTTCTAGATGTAGTTGGAGACAGGAGGAAGAGGCAGACTTGACAGAAGCATCTTGCATGTCATTGTTTTGACCTCCCAGTTTTGCAGTTTCTTTGGTGTTTGCCAGCAGTGTTTGGGGTGTTGTGCTTAATCTTGTAGTTGATGTGTGTATTGTGACTGCTCTGCAACCAATATAGAACGTTATACCGTTTTTAAAGGTAGTTTATAGATGTTTTATATTGACAAACCTGAAAAGCTAACATTTTCTCCATCACAATCAGCCAATTGCAGAACATGAAAATATTTATACTGCTTGATTTAGAAGTAATTTAACCACATGGCCTGCAACATCAGACAACAAAATGCTCCTATGCTATAACAATGCATTTGCTACATGGCTTACATTCAATTCTATTATAATTTATACTTTTTTTTAGCTCAATAATAGCTTACATTGCTAGAATTAAAAACATCATAGGCAAAGCATAGGTTGAGGAAAATAATTGTTTCAGACATTTCTACGTAGACATATTTCTTAATCATTATTTCTATTCTGTCTCCCACTTAATTGATATTACTAATAATGCATCACATGCTTACTAACACACTAATCCAAGTCATAATTGTGTACTGTTTAACTTGCTCTCTTTCTGTTTGTATTAACTCATGCTTTTGTATGAATCTATAAGATCTAAAACATATAACCATGTAACAATTTGACTCACCAAAGCTACATTAATGTTATAACAGTAGTAGTGGTAGTGAATGTCCATAATAACAATGCTGAAATGAATGTATTGTTCATTCTGATGGCTGTTTTATTTGTTTGTATAATGAACCTAACCTGTACATTCTCTTTTTGTTACCTTGCTGGTGGAGTGTGCTTCAGCTCACCCATCATAGTGTGTTTATCTAGCTGTAGTTCTACATTGTAGTTTTAGTTCTATATTGTATAGTAGCGGAGCTAGGCCATGGTTCCCATTGCTCCGCCCCCCCCCCCCCCCCCACATCTCTTCTCACTCCGTTCTGGGATGATTGGTGGTGGTGGAGGGATGTGGTGTTGGTGTATCTTCATCACACTTCCTAGCTCTCGTCCTCTCGTCTCTCTTCCCCCTTTCCTACTTCGTTTCTCTATCTTCTTTTCTTCTCTGTGGACCCCTGGATTGTGTCTGTGTGTCACTCTGTGGGAGAAGGGACCATTCGCAAGGCTCAGAACCTTCTCAAACAGTACTCTCAGCATGGTCTGGATGGGAAAAAGGGGGGCTCTAACCTCACTCCTTTGGAAGGTAACGCACCCTGGCTTTGTTGTCTTCTCTTCGATGTCGTGCTCTCTCTCTCTCTCTCTCTCTCTTGCCAGTGTACTGGGGTTACTGGTCTGTTGCTCTTGTCCAGGTTAACTTGTTCTTTTTGTTAAACAACAGACACACAGGAACCTCTTCAGAGTCACATTGGCTGTTAGACGCTGCAAATAATATAAAAGTTATGTTGTTTAATGGATACAAATATAGTGGTAATTCAAATGTTTCATCTTCAGTATAAGGTGAATGTTATAACTCCTTTTTAGCTGCCCAGAAATATACCACATTTGAAATGTAGTCTTTGGTATCAAAACTTTACATACAACACATAATACGTGTTAGAACTGCAGCAGGTCTAAAACTGGTGTGACTTTTGGCTTTCAAAGTCTTGTAAATCTGGGTCCTGTAAAAGCTATAACATCCACTAACTATCTCAGACACAGGTCAAACAAACGCACAAACACACTGGTCCCCCTGACCACCCCCTGCCCCCCAACATGGGTGTTCTCTGCTTTCCCCGCTGGGTGCTTGGTGGTCGGTATATGTTTCTAGGCGAGTCCCAGGCTTACCACTCGGCCTATAGGCCCCAGGAGTGAGCCTGGTTCCATGACTATACCCCCCCACCCATCAGGTCACGATCATGACCAGCGGGTCAAACACCAGTCAGACGCCCTGACCGACAAGCATGGGGCAGCAGCAGGTGAGTAAGGGGGAAGTTTGCTCCAAAATGTCCAGTATGGGGAACAAGAGACACCCACCAGTATTCAAGCCCGTGGATGTGATACCAGTTTCAGCACACATCCATTGACAGCTATGGAAGCCAATGGATATGTGCTGACAGTTAAAAAGTTAGCTATTATTGTTTAAAAACCCTTGTCGAATGTCAATGGTCATAGTAGCCAGTGGTTCCTTTCAGCTAATATACTGGTCAGGTAATGTCACTTTATATCAATGTGAAGTAAATTTTCCCCTACTGCCATTCTCCATTTTGCTTTTGAAATACAGTTGTGGTCAAACGTTTTCAGAATGACACAAATATTGGTCTTCACAAAGTTCGCTGCTTCAGTGTTATGAGATATTTTTGTCAGATGTTACTATGGTATACTGAAGTATAATTACAAGCATTCCATAAGTGTCAAAGGCTTTTATTGACAATTACATTAAGTTTATGCAAAGAGTCAGTATTTGCAGTGTTGACCCTTCTTTTTCAAGACCTCTGCAATCCGCCCTGGCATGCTGTCAATTAACTTCTGGGCCACATGCTGACTGATGGCAGCCAATTCTTGCATAATCAATGCTTGGAGTTTGTCAGAATTTGTGGGTTTTTGTTTGTCCACTCGCCTCTTGAGGATCGACCACAAGTTCTCAATGGGATTAAGGTCTGGGGAGTTTCCTGGCCATGGACCCAAAATGTCGATGTTTTGTTCCCAGAGCCACTTAGTTATCACTTTTGCCTTATGGCAAGGTGCTCCATCATGCTGGAAAAGGCATTGGTTGTCACCAAACTGTTCTTGGAGGGTTGGGAGAAGTTGCTCTCGGAGGATGTGTTGGTACCATTCTTTATTCATGACTGTGTTCTTAGGCAAAATTGTGAGTGAGCCCACTCCCTTGGCTGAGAAGCAACCCCACACATGAATGGTCTCAGGATGCTTTACTGTTGGCATGACACAGGACTGATGGTAGCGCTCACCTTGTCTTCTCCGGACAAGGTGTTTTTCGGATGCCCCAAACAATCGGAAAGGGGATTCATCAGAGAAAATGACTTTACCCCAGTCCTCAGCAGTCCAATCCCTGTACCTTTTGCAGAATATCTGTCTGTCCCTGATGTTTTTCCTAGAGAGAAGTGGCTTCTTTGCTGCCCTTCTTGACACCAGGCCATCCTCCAAAAGTCTTCGCCTCACTGTGGGTGCAGATGCACTCACACCTGCCTGCTGCCATTCCTGAGCACTCTGCACTGGTGGTGCCCCGATCCCGCAGCTGAATCAACTTTAGGAGACAGTCCTGGCGCTTGATGGACTTTCTTAGGCGCCCTGACGCCTTCTTCACAACAATTGAACCTCTCTCCTTGAAGTTCTTGATGATCCGATAAATGGTTGATTTAGGTGCAATCTTACTAGCAGCAATATCCTTGCCTGTGAAGCCCTTTTTGTGCAAAGCAATGATGACGGCACGTGTTTCCTTGCAGGTAACCATAGTTAACAGAGGAAGAACAATGATTTCAAGCACCACCCTCCTTTTAAAGCTTCCAGTCTGTTATTCTAACTCAATCAGCATGACAGAGTGATCTCCAGCCTTGTCCTCGTCAACACTCTCACCTGTGTTAACGAGAGAATCACTGACATGATGTCAGCTGGTCCTTTTGTGGCAGGGCTGAAATGCAGTGGAAATGTTGTTTTGGGATTAAGTTCATTTTCATGGCAAAGAGGGACTTTGCAATTAATTGTAATTAATCTGATCACTCTTCATAACATTCTGGAGTATATGCAAATTGCCATCATTAAAACTGAGGCAGCAGACTTCGTGAAAATTAGTATTTGTGTCATTCTCAAAACTTTTGACCACGAATATCATTTGGGACAAGTACATGCCCAATATTTATCTCCCTTGTTGGGGAAAACGCCATTCATAGAAGAGTAGCACATCAAGTAAACATGTTGTAAATACACATATCTAGACAGTCATAGTTCTCAGTCAGGATTGATGGTATTATTGTAACCTGCCTAATGCCCCTGGTCCACCAAATCCCCTCTCCACCCTGTCCCCTAACTGACCTCACCGTGTGCCCCTCAGGGAAGGATGATGTCCTGGACATAGAGATCGACTCTTACATCCACTGCATCAGTGCATTTGTGAAGCTGGCCCAGAGCGAATACGCCCTGCTCACAGAGATCATCCCTGAACACCACCAGAAGAAGACCTTTGACTCCCTCATACAGGTCAGGCCTCCGCCTCAGACAGGCAAACGACAGGCCATTATCATTTTACATTTTTTTTTTTTTTTTGGTTGCCTCCCTTTTCATATGTCAGATGAGGACAGTAATATCATAGTGCACTGTATGGTCAGGTCACAACCAAAGACAGGCAAACAATAGGCATTTCTTACCCAGAAGAAGAAGAATATAACATGATCTATGGTCTCCTGAGTTTACCGTGTCTGTGCAAATAACAAGATTGTGTTCAAAGAGAGAATGTTGTCAAATCAAAGGTTTATTGCACAGAATACAGGGTGTAAACGGAACAGTGAAATACTTACGTGCAAGCTCTCCTCAACAGTACAAAAATAAGTAATAAAAAGTAGTAAAATGAAGTAAAATAGGAATGTTGACAGTGGCATGAAGTACTGGCTCTGACATTGGCTCTCTGATAGAATGTACAGTGAAGCTGATTCCTCCTGTGACTGTGTCTGGTCTCCTGTGTCTTAGGAAGCCCTGGACAACCTGATGCTGGAGGGCGACAACATAGTGGCGGCAGCACGGCGGGCCATCATGAGACACGACTACTCTGCTGTCCTCACCATTTTCCCCATCCTCAGGCACCTGAAACAGACCAAGCCTGACTTTGACTCCACGCTCCAGGTAATGTAGCCTACAGGCCTCACTTAAGCAGACATATGAATTGACAAGAAACTATCTGAAATGTAATGCCAAAGCCAATTTTCCGTTGGACAAAAAATTGAATTGTATTAAAAAGATTAAGGATATTGTTTTTTTAATGATATAATTTACCTTTTCCCTTCATGGTATGTATCTACAGGGCACAGCTGCCAGTACAAAGAACAAGCTGCCTACCCTCATCACCTCCATGGAGACTATCGGAGCCAAAGCCCTGGAGGAGTTTGCAGACAGCATCAAGGTAAGAGCAACTACCCTCCACCGATAACCCCTTAGCTCTTTCATCCCTACTATACACAGCTTGAACCCATTAACAAACTATTCCTAAACTATTTATAGTATAATATGTATGGACATTCAATAGGACCAGCATCTCCTAGTGTTCTTGTAAGAGAGAAAAAATATTGAAGACAAATTTGTCTATCACTCTTTTCTATTACAGAATGACCCTGACAAGGAGTACAACATGCCCAAGGATGGAACGGTCCATGAGCTCACCAGCAACGTAAACAAACACCCTCCCTCTTGACATACAGTCTGGAGTTTATATAGTGGTATATGTTGCTGTTAGCCTCTCCATGTCACATCCCGTCATCCCTTACATAGTTCCTCACCCTGGTCTCTCTCTCTCTCTCTTCCCCAGGCCATCCTGTTCCTTCAGCAGCTGCTGGACTTCCAGGAGACAGCCGGAGCCATGCTGGCCTCTCAAGGTAGGGAGGGCTGAGTGGACTGTCCCGTCTAGGGCCTGGGGCCCGTCCCAAAAAGCACCCTATTCCCTATATGGTCCACTACTTTTGACCAGGGCCCATATGGTTGTGTTCAAAAGTAGCGCACCAAATAGGGAATAGGGTGCCATTTGGGACAGGCCCCAGGTCTGCTGTTAGTGTCCACCAGCTTCCGTCTGTCCGTTGTTTGTCTGTTCTGCAACGGTAGTAGTAGACCATCCCATCTTTGTCGGAGAAGTCCCCATGTATCCACCAACTGATGTTTGTAATAGAAACTAGACATCCTCCTCCTCTCCAGTTACGTCACATCAGCATTTCTCTCCTCCAGAGTTCTTTCTGGTCCTACTTCCTCTGCCTGTGTCTGTGACTTCCTCTAATGTGTTGCTGACTTGAACTCATCACTTCCTTCACCTCTTCCTCTCCTCTTCCTCTTCCTCTTCTTCACCTCGTCCTCACCTTTGCTGCTGCACTGCCTTTCTCTGCCTCTAGAGGGAGGCCGTAGACACTCCATAAACTGTACTATGGACTGGCTGTTCACTTTCTAGGGAGTATCTGGGTAACCATTTCTTCCTCAATGGCCAAATATATCAGCATTTGAACCCTTAGAGAGGGTAAGATATGGACCGTCATAATGAGACCAATCCTACCAGTAATAAGGATGAAAAGGGTCCCCCACTGCCCGGGTTAGTCCGTCCCTCATGCATCCCGGTACCATGACCCTATACCCTATACCCTCACCCCATGCCCCTTATCCATAAACCACCATACTCCCTACCTATCGCTGTCTGGCTGTTAACAGTACTTTGCTTACTCTGCACTAACAGATCTTTTCTAACCTTTTGCACTTTGCTTCTCTCATCTTTTCTCTCTCTCCTTTTTTCTCTTTTGCCTTGCCTTAAAGTACTGGGGGACACGTACAATATCCCTTTAGACCCCCGAGGTAAGCAAACACAAGACAGGTTTCACAGGTGCTTCACTACCAGAGGAGTAGGGAAGGACAGAGTCATTAATGCGTTTCTGAATGCATGAATGGTCTCAGGTTTTTATCAACATGTTGTTTAGGATTTAGTTCATGGATGCGTAATGTTACAGAAAACCCACTGACAGAAGTACATCAATAGTAAGTATGGGTAGTAGTATTGCATCCTTATGTGATTGTGAAGGCTGTGGAACATGGATCATGCTACTGAGGCGCTTACAGTATTATGGAAATTGCGTTGTTCATGTTACCATGGAAACACAGCCAGCCAGTCACATTCTCCCATATATTTTAAATTACAATTTTAATTAAACTTTCGCCTCTAATGAAATAAGTTGTTTGAACAGGAATAAAAAATATAATAATTGAAATCCCAAAAGAGATCATGGGAGATTAACAGAAAGATGATATGATATTGTATCCCAGTTGAGGGATTAGCAGTAACACAGTGGATTATGTATCTCAACGGTTATCGATAGATCTTATGTTAACGCTGTTTTACAATCTGCAGAGACCAGTTCGTCAGCCAGCAGCTCTGAGTTCAGTAGGAGACTTCTCAGCACCTACATATGTAAGTTTAGGAAGTAAAGATACATTTGTACATGTGTATGTTAATAAAGAAAATCAAAAGCTTAATTAAAGGTAGACTCAGCGTTTTAACGTTGCTACGAGCAGCACCGCAGTTATTGCAATGAACGCGATGCAAGATTTTGCTCTCACACGGTCCCACAGAGTATCTGCGCATGTGCAAGAGTTTGCTTCACGCTGCTACAGGGTGGTTGCTACGGGACCAAAACAGCGGAGAAGGTTAGCCTTCGTGCTTCAACGCTCTTAGTTGTTGCGGAAATTGACTACTGCTGTTTAATTTGTGCATCTACGTCATCTCGCTGAGTCTACCTTTAAGTAAAGATACATGCTGTATGTAATCCATCTGTACAGTAGCTACAGTTGAAGTCGGAAGTTTACATACACTTAGGTTGGAGTCATTAAAACTTGTTTTTCAACCACTCCACAAATTTATTTTTAACAAACTATAGTTTTGGCAAGTCGTTTAAGACCTCTACTTTGTGCATGCACAAGTAATTTCTCCAATAATTGTTTACAGACAGATTATTTCACTTATAATTCACTATATCACAATTCCAGTGGGTCAGAAGTTTACATACACTAAGTTGACTGTGCCTTTAAACAGCTTGGAAAATTCCAGAAAATGATGTCATGGCTTTAGAAGCTTCTGATAGGCTAATTGACATAATTTGAGTCAATTGGAGGTGTAGCCGTGGATGAATTTCAAGGCCTACCTTCAAACTCAGTGCCTCTTTGCTTAACATCATGGGAAAATCAAAAGAAATCAGCCAAGACCACAGAAAATTTTTTGTAGACCTCTACAAGTCTGGTTCATCCTTGGGAGCAATTTCCAAATGCCTGAAGGTACCACGTTCATCTGTACAAACAATAATACGCAAGTATAAACACCATCGGTCCACGCAGCCGTCATACCGCTCAGGAAGGGGACGCGTTCTGTCTCCTAGAGATGAACGTTCTTTGGTGCGAAAAGTGCAAATCAATCACAGAACAACAGCAAAGGACCTTGTGAAGATGCTGGAGGAAACAGGTACAAAATTATCTATATCCACAGTAAAACAAGTCCTATATCGACATAACCTGAAAGGCCGCTCAGCAAGGAAGAAGCCACTGCTCCAAAACCGCCATAGAAAAGCCAGACTACGGTTTGCAACTGCACAGCGGGATAAAGATCATACTTTTTGGAGAAATGTCCTCTGGTCTGATGAAACAAAAATAGAACTGTTTGGCCATAATGACCATCGTTATGTTTGGAGGAAAAAGGGGTCGGCTTGCAAGCCGAAGAACACCATCCCAATCGTGAAGCACGGGGTGGCAGCATCATGCTGTGGGGGTGCTTTGATACAGGAGGGACTGGTGCACTTCACAAAATAGATGTCATCATGAGGAATGAAAATTATGTGGATATATTGAAGCAACATCTCAAGACATCAGTCAGGAAGTTAAAGCTTGGTCGCAAATGGGTCTTCCAAATAGACAATGACCCCAAGCATACCTCCAAAGTTGTGGCAAAATGGCTTAAGGACAACAAAGGTCAATGTATTGGAGTGGCCATCACAAAGCCCTGACCTCAATCCTATAGAAAATGTGTGGGCAGAACTGATAAAGCGTGTGTGAGCAAGGAGGCCTACAAACCTGACCCAGTTACACCAGCTCTGTCAGGAGGAATGGGCCAAAATTCACCCAACTTATTGTGGAAGGCTACCCGAAACGTTTGACCCAAGTTAAATGATTTAAAGGCAATGCTACGAAATACTAATTGAGTGTATGTAAACTTTTGACCCACTGGGAATGTGATGAAAGAAATAAAAGCTGAAATAAATCATTCTCTCTACTATTATTCTGACATTTCTTAAAATAAAGTGGTGATCCTAACTGACCTAAGACAGGGAATTTTTACTAGGATTAAATGTCAGGAATTGTGAAATACTGAGTTTAAATGTATTTGGCTAAGGTGCATGTAAACTTCTAACTTCAACTGTATATAAAGGACAGAGCTTTGAATTGTTTTGGTATCATTTATCTCTGTCACATTATTTCACTTTTCTCCAAGACAAACGTCCCCTCGAGGACAATAAAGTTAAACTTATATCTTATATTATATCTCCATAATGAGATGAATCAAATGTGCAAACAGTTGGAACAAACCAAGCACAGTTTACGAATGTCCTTGGCTCTGATTCTGAATCTGGTTCGCTTCTCTCTCAGGTAAAGTGTTGGGGAACCTGCAGCTGAATCTTCTCAGTAAATCCAAGGTGTACGAGGACTCTGCTCTGAGTGCCATCTTCCTCCACAACAACTACAACTACATCCTCAAGTCCCTGGAGAAGTAGACCCCCGCTATCCCCTTATTATCACACCAACATGCCTGCACGACCTCACACACAAACCATTTCAATTGATATCTTTCAAAACTACTAGTAACTCGATTGATATCAGCTACTCAAACGTATATAGCCTACAGTAAACACAAATCAACAAACGCATTGCCACGGACCCAAACACCTTTTCTAACGCAGATGCCCAGGCAGAGAATTGATATGCCACAAAGCAAGAATATACTTTGTCATAGTCACATCTTATTTTAACCATATTACCGTGTGTGTGCGTGTCCTTCCCTCAGGTCTGAGCTGATCCAGCTGGTGACGGTGACTCAGAAGAAGGCAGAGAGTTCATACAGAGAGCTGATAGAACAGCAGATCCAGATATACCAGCGCAGGTAAATACATCATGGGCTGAAGGGCATCAGGGTACGCTCTCATTTACAGCTACAGCATGTTCCTGAATCTCTAGCTAGTACCTGCACTACGTAAACTATCTCCTGTGATCGTACATAACATGCTATGCTATGAGTAAGCTCTTAACCTTTTCTGTTGTTTTGTCTTGCTTTTCTTTAGCTGGTACAAGGTCACAGAGCATATTATGGACCGGAACATGCCTGCCTTCCAACCGGGAACCAAGGTGAGACCGTTTACTTGATATGCGTACGTACACTGAGTGTACAAAACATTATGAACAACTGCTCTTTCCATGACAGACTGACCAGGTGAATCCAGGTGAAAGCTATGATTGCCCTTATTGATGTCACTTGTTAAATCCAGTTCAATCAGTGTAGATGAAGGGGAGGAGACAGGTTAAAGAAGGATTTTTAAGCCTTGAGACAATTGAGACATGGATTGTGTATGTGTGCCATTCAGAGGGTGAATGGGCAAGACAAAAGATTTAAGTGCCTTTGAAAGGGGTACAGTGGGGAAAAAAAGTATTTAGTCAGCAACCAATTGTGCAAGTTCTCCCACTTAAAAAGATGAGAGAGGCCTGTAATTTTCATCATAGGTACACGTCAACTATGACAGACAAAATGAGGAAAAAAATTCCAGAAAATCACATTGTAGGATTTTTAATGAATTTATTGGCATATGATGGTGGAAAATAAGTATTTGGTCAATAACAAAAGTTTCTCAATACTTTGTTATATACCATTTGTTGGCAATGACACAGGTCAAACGTTTTCTGTAAGTCTTCACAAGGTTTTCACACACTGTTGCTGGTATTTTGGCCCATTCCTCCATGCAGATCTCCTCTAGAGCAGTGATGTTTTGGGGCTGTCGCTGGGCAACACAGACTTTCAACTCCCTCCAAAGATTTTCTATGGGGTTGAGATCTGGAGACTGGCTAGGCCACTCCAGGACCTTGAAATGCTTCTTACGAAGCCACTCCTTCGTTGCCCGGGCGGTGTGTTTGGGATCATTGTCATGCTGAAAGACCCAGCCACGTTTCATCTTCAATGCCCTTGCTGATGGAAGGAGGGTTTCACTCAAAATCTCACGATACATGGCCCCATTCATTCTTTCCTTTACACGGATCAGTCGTCCTGGTCCCTTTGCAGAAAAACAGCCCCAAAGCATGATGTTTCCAACCCCATGCTTCACAGTAGGTATGGTGTTCTTTGGATGCAACTCAGCATTCTTTGTCCTCCAAACATGACGAGTTGAGTTTTTACCAAAAAGTTATATTTTGGTTTCATCTGACCATATGACATTCTCCCAATCCTCTTCTGGATCATCCAAATGCACTTCAGACGGGCCTGGACATGTACTGGCTTAAGCAGGGGGACACGTCTCGCACTGCAGGATTTGAGTCCCTGGCGGCGTAGTGTGTTACTGATGGTTGGCTTTGTTACTTTGGTCCCAGCTCTCTGCAGGTCATTCACTAGGTCCCCCCGTGTGGTTCTGGGATTTTTGCTCACCGTTCTTGTGATCATTTTGACCCCACGGGGTGAGATCTTGCGTGGAGCCCCAGATCGAGGGAGATTATCAGTGGTCTTGTATGTCTTCCATTTCCTAATAATTGCTCCCACAGTTGATTTCTTCAAACCAAGCTGCTTACCTATTGCAGATTCAGTCTTCCCAGCCTGGTGCAGGTCTACAATTTAGTTTTTGGTGTCCTTTGACAGCTCTTTGGTCTTGGCCATTGTGAAGTTTGGAGTGTGACTGTTTGAGGTTGTGGACAGGTGTATTTTATCTGATAACAAGTTCAAACAGGTGCCATTAATACAGGTAACGAGTGGAGGACAGAGGAGCCTCTGAAAGAAGAAGTTACAGGTCTGTGAGAGCCAGAAATCTTGCTTGTTTGTAGGTGACCAAATACTTATTTTCCACCATAATTTGCAAATAAATTCATAAAAAATCCTACAATGGGATTTTCTGGATTTTTTTTCCTCAATTTGTCTGTCATAGTTGACGTGTACCTATGATGAAAATTACAGGCCTCTCTCATATTTTTAAGTGGGAGAACTTGCACAATTGGTGGCTGACTAAATACTTTTTTTCCCCACTGTATGTTAGTAGGTGCCAGGCGCACCGGTTTGTTTCAAGAACTGCAACGCTGCTGGGTTTTTCACAGTCAAAAGTTTCCCATGTGTATCAAGAATGGTCCACCACCCAAAGGACATCCAGCCAACTTGACACAACTGTGGGAAGCGTTGGAGTCAACATGGGCCAGCATCCTTGTGGAATGCTTTCGACACCTTGTAGAATCCATGCCCCGACGAATTGAGGCTGTTATTAGGAAGGAGTTCTTAATGTTTTGTACACTCAGTGCTGTGCACATTTGCTATTTTATCTGTACGTGTGAAGTAAATGGCCTTCCATATGTTCCCTCTCACCAGCTGAAAGACAAAGAGCGTCAGGTGATCAAAGACAAGTTTAAGGTAAGATAACCAACAGCGTACAGGTAACACAAAACAAATTCAATCCCTACCAAGGATATACCGAGGATTCAAGAGTGATGAATTGGATACTGTAAATGTGCCAACATATCAGTTAAAATGCCTTCAATTTAATCTCTAGATCCATGAACGTATGGTTTAAACGTATGCTTATGGACTGACCTCTTGCTCTCTTGGTTGACCTGTAGGGATTCAACGACGGTCTGGAGGAGCTGTGTAAGATCCAGAAGGTGTGGGCCATCCCAGACAAGGAGCAGAGAGACGCCATCCGCCATGCCCAGAGGAGAGTGGTGTCGGAGGCCTACAGGGCCTTCCTACAGAGGTGAGTCATAAGCACCACCACTACTGTGACATCAGTGTTACTCCCCCTCTCTCACTTATTGTTAAGGATGGTAACCATTGTAAATTGTAGGAAATGTGTTTATTTTCTGCGTTTATCTTCTGTTAGTCAGAACCTCGCTAAAAGGGTTTCCTTTCTCTCCGCAGCTCAGTTAGAAAGGACGGCTGTAAATGTACACAAAACATTGTAATTTATGAATGTTGAATTCTTTCACAGATACGCCAACATTTCGTTCACTAAAAACCCTGAGAAATATCACAAGTATCGTCCAGAGCAGGTGGAGGAGATGATCGAGAGGCTGTTTGATACCTCAGCCTAAGCCACGCCCACTGACCATGCCCAATTGACCACGCCCATCAAGTAACCACACCCCCAACCCTCATAACACTCAGCTCAACCTCCTGGGTCCCCTACAACTAGGGCTTGTTCAGGAGGATGTAACGTTCACATAGAAATGCATTGTGTAGAACAGATATGATTGTCTGTCAGATAAAATAGGGAATTGTCACCTCTATTCATTCTATTTATATCTGCAACATTTGGAAAGTTTTACTGAATAAACCCCTGAGCTCCTGCCTCCCCTGAGACACCCACTGCCCTATGGGTGTCTCATACTTTATGCTATTTTTTTTATATAATAATGTATTTATATGTAATTTACTTGTTGTCCCCCAATCAATGAGCATCTCAATCTAATAAAGCAAAGTCTGTGATTTGCGATGATGTTGTTATTGTTTTGTTGGAGGTGGGTAATGCAATTACATAACAGTACAGTACAGTAGCTACATGTCAGTGTGTTGTGTAACAACAACTAATCTAATTGAAAAGCTATCAGATGTGAACAGAATAGAATTACCGGTTGTCACTTATTGTTGTCCTATTGTCATTTATTCCAAATGATGGTTATTCTGGTGTCGGAGCTATTAGTTAGTTTAATCTTTGAAACCATTTGTTTCAAGGTATTAGCTTAATCTAGAATAGATGTTCAGATTGGATGAATACAGCCATATTACATGACAAGGATTGCATGGCCGGATCTGTACATTTCATAAGATACTACCTTCCGCGCACACTTCATCCTGAAATCGTCAAAATGCTAATCATGTCAAGAGTTAGCTAATGTTTTGACTGAGTTGACACATCACAGTCGTAGAGGAGGGCTAGAGGACCTTGGAGATGGGCATTGGAGAGGTAGAGGCAATAGGAAGGTTGAGGAGTAGGATTATTCAGCTCTTCTACGTTAATAATAATCTAATCTAATTTTATTGGCCACATGCGCCGAATACAACAGTGCAGACATTACAGTGAAATACTTGCTTACAGCCCTTAACCAACAGTGCATTTATTTTAAATAAAGAAGTAAAATGAAACAACAACAAAAAAGTGTTGAGAAAAAAAGAGCAGAAGTAAAATAAAATAACAGTAGGGATATCCAGAAGCTCTTTTTGGTTATAAGAGACGATGGCAGAAACATTATGTACAAAATAAATTACAAATAACGTGGAAAAACACACATAATAGTACAATTGGTTAGAGGGCTGTAAAACGGCAGCCATCTTCTCCGGCGCCATTCTTCTTTATACCCAGCATGCTTTGCAAGAGTTTCTTTTACATTTACATTTTAGTTATTTATCCAGAGCGACTTACAATTAGTGCATTCATCTTAAGATCGCTTGGTGAGACAACAGCACATCACAATTGTATCAAGTACATTTTCCCTCAACAAAGTATATATCAGTAAAGTCAGTGCTAGTGGGAAATAAGTGTTTGTTATAAAAAAAATATGTAAGTTCTTGAGTAGGAGGGATGTTTGTGACAGCAGAGGAGGCCATGTTAATGGACAGGTCTAATGGATTCCCTAATGAATGAAAGAATAGAGAGGTTGGATATAAATAACAGCTATGCACTTGATGACCCACATTTATATTTTACATTATTTTGCATATTGAAGCCAACCAGAGCATGGATTTGTTTTTAAATTGGGTCTTGTTGGAAGAGAGTTTTCCATTTAAAAAGGCAGCATCTTGGTCTAAAAAGACGGAAGTGAATGCACTGAGTGAAGTATTTCATTAGAAGTTGCCTTGGAAACTAGTACTGTGCGGAAGTAGACCTGAGATTCTATCTCTCTGTCCCCAGATTTGTGATTAATTATACTTTTTCTAAGATGCCAACAACAGAATTTTTCAGTGATTAGCTTTTTATTAAAGGTGCATTTCACACCAAGTTCTTCTGACTCTTCTTACTGAAAACACAGATGTACTCTACATGACCACAAGTATGTGGACACCTGCTTGTCGAACATCTCATTCCAAAATCATGGGCATTAATATGGAGTTGGTCCCCCCTTTGCTGCTATAACAGCCTCCACTCTTCTGGGAAGGCTATCCATTAGATGTTGGAACACTGCTGCGGGGACTTGCTACAAGAGCATTAGTGAGGTCTGGCACTGATGTTGGGCGATTAGGCCTGGTTAGCAGTCGGCGTTCCAATTCATCCCAAAGGGGTTCGATGGGGTTGAGGTCAGGGCTATGTGCAGGCCAGTCAAGTTCTTCCACACCGATCTCGACAAACCATTTCTGTATGGACCTCGCTTTGTGCACGGGGGCATTGTCATGCTGAAACAGGAAAGGGCTGTCCCCAAACTGTTGCCACAAAGTTGGACACACAGAATCGTCTAGAATGACATTGTATGTAGCGTTAAGATTTCCCTTCAATGGAAACTAAGGGGCCTAGCCCAAACCATGAAAAACAGCCCCACACCATTATTCCTCCTCCACCTAACTTTACAGTTGGCACTATGCATTGAGACAGGTAGCGTTCTCCTGGCATCCGCCAAACCCAGATTTGTCCATCGGACTGCCAGATGGTAAGGCGTCATTCATCACTCCAGAGAACGCGTTTCCACTGCTCCAGAGTCCAATGGCGGCGAGCTTTACACCACTCCAGCCGACGCTTGGCATTGCGTATGGTGATCTTAGGCTTGTGTGCGGCTGCTCGGCCATGGAAACCCATTTCATGAAGCTCCTGACGAACAGTTCTTGTGCTGACGTTGCTTCAAGAGGCAGTTTGGAACTCGGTAGTGAGTGTTGCAACCGAGGACAGGCGGTTTTTACGTGCTACACGCTTCAGCACTCGGCTGTCCTGTTCTGTGAGCTTGTGTGGCCTACCACTTCATGGCTGAGCCATGGTTGCTCCTAGACGTTTCCACTTCACAATAACAGCACTTACAGTTGACGAACTGACTTGTTGGAAAGGTGGCATCCTATGACGGTGCCACTTTGAAAGTCACTGAGCTCTTCAGTATGGCCATTCTACTGCCAATGTTTGTCAGTGGAGATTGCATGGCTGTGTGTTCGATTTTATACACCTGTCAGCAACTGGTCTGGATGAAATAGCCGAATCCACTAATTGGAAGGAGTGTCCACATACTTTTGTATATATAGTGTAGAAATGTAGAGGTGGCAGCACAGCATAAAGGACTCAACCTATCTTGGGTGTTCTTGTCATTGCTCTCCCATTAAGCATTTCACGTCAGGCGACGTCTTTTTAATTATTTTTTTTAATTATTTTTTATTTTTCACGTCAGGCGACGTCTTCTTTATTAGTTTTTTTTGGGGGGGGGGGTGTGGTCCGGACCGGCATTCATTTCAGACAGAACCAAAACTGAACCAATCATAGACATCTATATTTGGTTCAGATTTGGTCCGGTCCGGACCGGCCTTGATTTGACCCAAAAAATAACGTCTATGATTAGTTCAGATTTGGTCCGTTCCGGACTGGCCTTGATTTGGCCCAAATATAAATGTCTATGATTGGTCCAGTAGGGTGTTTGACTTTCACACCATGACCCGGGTTTGTCGTTCACTACATTGGTGTCAGAAATGGGATGGCAGCCATGACCGTGAAACATCATGGCTGGTAGCCTAAGCAATATGGTGGAATTTCCTTCTACTAGCCCAGAATTCCACTGATCCTACTTTTAGATTTGTGGGAAGTACTTTAGTGAACGATTATAGGCCTACACTTCCCACTAAGCATTTACTGACGGCAAACGTCTTCTGGACGTCTTTTTTTTTGGTCCGGATGTCTTTTTTTGTCTTTTTTGGTGCAGTCCAGACCGGCCTTGATTTCCACGGCCAAGGATGTCTTATTTTGGTTCAGATTTGGTCCAGCCCGGACTGGACCAAATCTAAACTAATCATAGACATCTATGTTTCACATATTGGAAAGCACAGTACAGTACAGTAGAGCACAACAGAGGACAGTACATTACAGTACACAGTACAGTAAAGAAAATTAGAGTGCAGTAAAGGAAAGAAAAATTAAAGTATATTGTACTGTATTGTACCCTACTTTACTCTAATGTACTCTACTCTACTGAACTAAACTGTACTGTGTACTGTAATGTACTGTACTCTACTGAATTAAACTGTACTCTACTGTACTCTACTGAATTAAACTCTACTGTACTGTACCATGCTGTACTCTACTGTACTCTACTCTACTGAATAAAACTCAACTGTTCTGTACCATGCTGTACTCTACTGTACTCTACTCTACTGAATAAAACTCAACTGTTCTGTACTGTACTGTGCTGTACTCTACTATACTAAACTGCCATTCTGAAATGTGATGTTGAAACTTGTCAAACAAAGCCTAGACGTTTATGATTAGTTCAGATTTGGATCTGGTCCGCACCGACCAAATTTGTACTTGTTTGGGGCGTAGCTCATTCTAATAATACCTAGCATGCTTTGCAAGTGTTTGTTTTTACATTTACATTTTGGTCATTCAGCAGCCGCTCTTATCCATAGCGACTGACAGTCAGTGCATTCAACCAACGTAGACAAAAAACAACATATTACAGTCATAGCAAGAAAACAAACAATCTGTAACCGTTACTGAGAATGTTATTGTTATTTGAAGTCTGTTGGTTAATTCAATAGATTGAAATACTTTGAACATCATTGCTGCCAGTTTTAAAGCTTATGACCAAGCTAACATAAGTACATGTGAAAGATGGACTTATGACCCCTGAAGGAGAAAGGGTCGAGAAAGACGGCTCTGTAGAGATGGTGAGTGAGAGCTCCCCAAGTGGGTCTGACAGCATGATGACAGTGTCGGAAACGACACTGTCAAGTGAGGAGAGTGCAGGAGAGGTGGGAGAGACCCTGGGCGAACACCTTCCCCTACGGAAGAGAAACGCAGAGGAGCTCTCCGACCCCGAACAGGGTGAGGAAAAAAAAGGAAAATTGGAGTGGGAGAGCTCCCAGGGGGAGGATGAGTCCAGGGTCTTCCCATCCAACTCTCCTAACCAGGACTCGTTTTTAAACCCTGTTTGTACCTCCTCTCCCTACCGCCCCCCCTTACCCCGTAGGGAGAGAGAGAAAGGTTCTGAAAAATAACCCCTTTTAAACTGTTTTAATGCCTTCTTTCTTTTTAGCACTGTTTTTACTCACCTCTTTCATGGCTTTTAACATCACCACCATTAATGTTAGGAGTGTAAAGACAGAATTAAGAGCACAATCGGTTTTATCCTTTTTAGAAAGTGTAAATTCAGATGTGTTTTTATTACAGGAGTGTGGTCTACCCTTTTTAACCTCTTACAGTAAATGGGAGGAGAAGTGGCAGCACGGGCCCTCCATTTGGAGCGGATCCAATTTTAACAGAAATGATGGTGTTGCCATTTTGGTGGTGGTGAGGGGGAGCACAGTGGTGGTTGGGGGGCGTGCTCTTTTAGCCAACTGTACTTTTATGGGGAGGGATTTTAACGTGCTAAATCTATATGGTTTTAATAACAAACATGACCGGTGCGCACTTTTAGAAGACCTGCAGTCCCA